TGGCTGTCCTTCCTGACCCACTGGCTGCTCCTCTCTGCAGAATAGCAGCTCTCTGGGGAAGAGAAAACTATCAGTCTCAATAGGCAGCGAGACGCTCACAGAGAGAGACACTGAGGTGCTTCACTGTAATTTCACAGCCATCAACCCTCATCACAGTGACGGGCAAAGGGTTCATGACGGAGGCAGCCGGAGGGTAAAGGAATGGATCCTTTCCGTCTAATCCTTTCCAACCTACTGAGGCTCAAGAATGAATCTTATTTTTTATCCTCTTCAGAAAACGAACAGTCGCAATGAAACCACTGGAACAGGCTGCCTGAATCACAGTGAATAATATATCAATGGACATTTGACCAATCAGACAGCTTATGCATGGACCCTACATACACTGGTCATGCAAAAACGTAATTTGGCCAATCAGGGGAAGACCCCGTGGCTGAATTATTTGGAATTATTTTGGATTCAGGTGAAAAAGACGGTACAACAGCAGAATGACTGATAAACTGTAACGTTGTGGAAAAAAAAACTAAAATGTTCTTCTTTTTTTTTTATCGCATTCCATAAAATTATCCCAATTATCATGCAATCTCAAATATTCATAAAAGCCAATGTTACTCTTTTTGCTTACTCCATCATGAAATACCCACACACACACATACACACACACACACACAAACTTCAGCTCGAGTAGACATAGTGTCCTCTGCGGCTTCACTATATCTGCATCTCCTCACGGCCTGATGAGTCTGCTCCCACAGCTCCCAGCGAGGAAGTCATAATGACAGGGATGCTCCAGCCTCAGAGAGGAAGGAGTCACACACTCACACAACATATATACACACTCAAACACAAGATACAAAACACACACACATGCATTGTTCACGAATCTTAGTTTCAATGACACCATCTTCTTTAAAAGATCAAATTAAGCTTATTAAAAGCAAACACTCCATCTGGAGAACATGCATACCAATGAACACATGAACACACACACACACACACACAGCTCACACACAGCATGTGCTCACACACATTGCCTCCGGTGGACCGCGTGATGCTGACTGCAACCACAGAGAAGACGCAGGACACTTCTCATTGGATACAGCCATTCAGGGATTAAGCTGGAGAAAATGCAGCGTGTCCGGCTCTCATTTTTTTTCAAAGCCTGGAGGCCGGCAGAGTCAGCCTCAGGTCAGAGTCAATGTCTGTCTCTGTGTTTATGTTTTCATTTTCACTTCTCCCTGGCTCTTTCACTTTCTCTTCATGTAGGAAAAAAAAATCCATAGATGGCTCCCTTTATTAGATTTTAAAAAACACTTCCTTTTGTGTTTGCAAGTAATTGTTTTTGCACATTTTGACTTTAACTGTGATTTAGGAGATGGAGTCGGACGCTCAGATTTATTTCCCTCATTGTCTTCATTCTATTTTCGTTTCTGTTTTAACATAACCTCCTTTAGAATGACTATAACAGAGAGTGCATGATGATGTCACATTACATTTTTGGTGAAAGAAGCCCACAGAGTGTGACTAGTGTGCCTGGAGCTGCATAGCGTGTGGAGTCATGATGCTTGAAGGAGCATTTGGGGACCAGGGGGAGTGAGAGAGGAGATTATCAGACTCCGGAGCTAGCCAGCTGCCACTGGAGCTGTGTGGGCAACACTACACCCTGCACTCACTCTCTTTTTTTTTTTTTATCTCTCTGCCCCTTTCATGGTCACCCTCATTAAACAGCCCTGAATGCTGACGTTTCTGCGCCCTGGCACTGTCTGCAGTGAGAGCAAAACTGGCAAAGCTTCTGCATATCAGTCATGCTCAAACCAGGGTAAAGAAATGTGTCCTCAATGTGTCCAGTGATGCACTGCAACAAAAAAAAAAACCTGGTTGGTTTATTTTTAGAGGTGTGTGAAAATTTCCCTAAAGTGAACAGTCATGCCGACACTAAATAATCATGGTTATCATACATGATGCAGCCACATGGAAACAAGACCAGGATTCCACAGCCATACGAGCAGCTTTGCGAGGCTTCCCGTCGCGCTGCTAACATGATCACAAAGACGAAGGTAGAATATAAATAATGTAGCATGAGTAACGTTTACATTTTAATTTGACATGCTCACATTAGCTGACAGAAGGGTGAATGTGATTACTTTTGCAGGTATGAAGACATGAACCTCTGAGTCTGTCATTGATATTAGAACATCAATTTAATATGATTCATTCTCTGGGATCAGGTCAGTATTATTTATACTACACTTTTTACATGTGTATAACTTTTCTCCTTGCTTAGCCTTCTGTTCACTGTGTAACTCTTCCGATCATACTTAACATATCGCTCTTTTTGAACAATGCTGCAGACTGAAAAAAACAACAGTTGAAATATTTGCCTGAATCATTGGAAAGTGTTGCACTTTGCAAGTGGCCATCTAGTGATTGCAAAATATGTCATTTCTTATTTGTTATCTGTGTGTTGTTACTGTTGTCTGTCTGCATGTTGGTAACAATGTGTTTTTCTTTTAATACTATTTTCACTTTGTTTGTCATTTTGATAACATGCTGTAAAATAACGTACAACGGTTAACAATAGTGAAATAGTGATTTCTGGTACGAATATCAACTTTATTCCCTTTATTAGACTGTATTATTACTCGTTACTTTATGTGAAACAGCCAACAACAAGCGGGCGAGGTTACACTAACGTCAGCACAGTAGCATCCTGGTAGAAAGAACGCTGTAAACAAACACAGGTGATCATTGAGCTGTGAGCTTTCTGTCTCATTAATACAGACTCATTTTCCTTTGCTCGAGCTTAACGACAATGATATAGCAGTGAGTTGTCGTCTATGTGCAGGAAGGAAAACGTCTCGTTCACAGCGAGCGACACAACAACACGCTTCTATTAAACTAGCTGTCAGAGAGCCCCGTGCTGCAAACACTGGAGACCTCAGCTCACGTTAGCTCGGCAGACCGAGGAGGAGACTCTCCATACAGACAGCCAGCTTGATTTAAAACGCCACCTGCTCCACGTTGTGTAGACCGGACTATAGACTGATAGACTGGTTTGTTGATGGCGATGTGCTTCATCTCAACTGTTGAGTCTGTTGCCTTCAGAGATCTAACTGGTAAATTACCTACATGTGAAAAATGACTACAGTGTTATTTGAAATTTGCGAGTTGTCAGACAGAGCGAGTTGTCTCAATTCTGCCGCGGAAAATACTGAAAATGTGAACATTCATATGAGGATTGAAGCAAAAAAAAGTAACGCTCGAGTTACTTTCCCCAGAAACAAGATACTCTTATGAAGCAGTAATTCCATTAGAATCTCAGTAACTTTTTGATAGTAGTAACTTTAACTATAACTAGTTACTACACTGAGTATTGGTTTCACTCTCCATGCATCTTGGTAGTTGGTGAAGTTGTGCCAGAAAACCCTTCTCTGCTCTTACACTGATTGTGGTTACTGTCAGGATCTCTTGAAAACCAGACGGTGCATCTCAAAGTGTTTACCCTAATAAAAGAAAAGAAAATGATCAAGATGTAATCAGTAATCTCAGGGCCAGATGGTCCGGTAAGATGCAAGGACATTGCTGTTCTGCTGTAAAGGTCAAAAAGATTTCATGCACTCCTGCAGACTGCAGACTCAAGCTTCGTGTATTCTCATAACTGGATAAAAAAGCAGACACACGTATTAACGCCTTGCCAACATGTAAGTACTCATCTGATCCTGAATATGCAGACGATAAGATAATATGTTGACAATAATGCACCAAAGTGACAGTACTCTAGACAAATAGTTTATCAGCATCCTGTCATGAGATAAGAGATTGTTGTACACATTTCCTGGAAGTGACAGTTAGTATATAAAACACGCTATGCTGCATAATGACAGATACTGGATGTGATTTAATGAAGAGATCTTAACAGTTTCATGATCAACAACGGCTTCAACATCCTGAGTCAAGGAAGTGGCTTAGCAGACTTTCTCAGAAGTACAACTCTTCCAACAGAACACCACGTCCTTCAGAGTGTCATGAAGAATGAGCAGCAGCAGACGAATCCCTGATAAAAGTCTCTAAAACCAGAACAACTTTCATATTTACCTATTTAAGTGACATCCTGCTGGACTCTTTTTAAGTTAAGTCGTTATGGTAAAATCCAAAAGGCACAGATCCCGTCACTTCCACTGACTCTCACTCCCAGCTGGTTTTAAAACAAGCAAGTTCACATCCCATGTGCATAAGTGTTTCTGCTGGTTCTGCTCATTAAGAATAAGTTGAATATATTTAAGCCTTGTGGCTGTTTCTATATCTGCAACAACAGTCTGCAAACCCAACAAAAGTACAGCAGCACAGCCAAGGGCTCCATTTGTTCCTATGAAAAGAGTTCATTGTTATTTCAAGTTGAAGTGAAGATAAATTAGATGTCATATCAACAGGATAAGCAGCCTGTTATCATTCCTGCATCACTGACACACTGTTAGCACAGCATCGAGGGACTGTTTGTACTGGAGAAAAACAATTATTATCTCCAAATAGGAGGGTTCGGGGGGGGGGGGGGCACCATCCGTAGAAACTTTAATTAAAAGACTGGCAGAGTTTCATCTCCCTGTGACAACTCCATTATTTCCAGATGATAAAACATTCTCCGAGCAGAACAAATGGACTCGGCTCCAATGGAGTAAGTTCCAGCGGCGGTGTAAGTACGCCGGCCGTGCTAATCGTTTCCCTGACCTTGGCATTTTGTATCTCGCTGAAGTAGCAGAGTTGAGGCTGAAATTAGAGTAATTATTCAAATGTGGCGTCACTGAGCTTTGTACTTGGTTTGACTCTGAGTGGATGAAAGAAACCCCCGGTACATACTTTCACTGCGTTGCCTTGTTACACAGGTATAAATCTACAGTGGCTATATTCTCTGTGCATTGGTCACTTGCGTACAAAGAACTTGGCAAGTCCATAAATCTACCTTTGAGTTTTTCTAATTTGCCAGAACCATAAACATTCTTTACCTTCATCCGGATCGTTCCTGGCCGACGCCTCCAGCAGAGCCACGCTGGCAGCGAAAGACACTCGCCTCTTGATGTCCGACTGCTGCAGGTTGTTGGCGTTGCGTCCCTTCTTGTCGGCCTTCCGCTTCTTGTTTTGCATCTCCTTCTCGTACACGGCCCATCTCTTCAGCTGCTGCGTTCTCCGCTTCTGGGCCGCCCGCAGCCTCTCCAGACTGGGCACCTTGTCCAGCTGCTGCAGCTCCTGGATCAGCTCCAGGTGGTTGGCCATGGTGCCCGGAAGAGGAGGGGGAGGGGTAGTAGAATGGATGATGGTTGGAGGGGTGGAGGGGGAGGGGGGGGAGGAAGGGGGGTGTTGGGGGAGAGATCAGGAGTCTAGCGAGGGCTGCACCTTCCGAAGTGGCCTCCTCCCATCACAATCTTCTTCATCATCCTGTTCGCTGCAGTAAGTCTGGGTAAGAAGACAGAGAGGGGGAGAAGGTACGTAAAATATCAGCCACAAACTTTTACGACCTGCAACTTCAATAAATACATCAGCCAATAAAAAGTGGTGCAGAAGTAGTTTGATGCTGTGTAAAACTTCCAGTAAATCCTTGGAAAGATGCACAGAGGCAACACTGACATTCAACAGTAAGCATCATCGTGATGCACCACATCAAAGTGCTCAGAGATGTGTTTTAGTGGCCTAGTTTAAAGAGACAGAAGATAAAACCAACCAACCAACCAACCAACCAACCAACCGAGCACTGAATGAATGCTTTTTCTCGTTAAATGTTCCACTCTTTGAACCCGATACTGCTCATGTGATTTCAGTTTAGCACCTAAAGATGTCAATAAAATAACATTTCTGTTCCTCACAAAAAGGTGACACAGAAATGAAAGCAAATGTCATTTTCATAACGGCTCCACTTTCTTCAATTCACACGATGCAAACTCCATCAAAATGATGCCTTTGAGTGTTCAGGGAAAAATGGACAACTATGGTTCTATCAAGAATGGAGGCAATTTTATTTTTTCAATTTTTTATTAAAATGTCCAAACAGGTGTTGCAGTCTGAATTTTCCATTTGCTTTGTGTGCTCTCTCTCAAATCCTCCAACAAGGTTAACCGCTTCCTGAATGCTACTGGTAGACACCAGCGTGACGAGCCGCTGATAAAGAGGAGAGAAAGAAGCAGCAAGCCGGTGAGAAACTGAGGCGGGGATTTTTTTTTATGTCACTGTTACATTGATGTACTGAAGCCACGCTTTCTTAAAACAAGAACAAATATCCTGCTTTTTCTATTTCGCTCTTACAATTGAAAGCGTCAGAAAACTGTTAGAAAAGCAAGAACAACCCCCTTTAGTTTGTTGTTTTTGTAGACGTCCAATGAGAATGCAGCACACGTGACTCATTGACAGTTTCTTCAAAAATGAACTCGTAGAGGAGGAAAAACAAACGGTGATCAATTAGCACGACCAAAGCAGAAACGTATACATGTGGAACCTAATATGAAAGATGTACTGTGCAGTTTCTAGGACATCATCTACTCAGCCTCTCACCTCATTCAGACCACTTCTGTTAAGCACTAAACAATGTACATTTATTGTATTACAGCTACAAACACTAAATCACCTTTTGGTAAAAGTCGAGCCCTTTCAAACCACTTAGTATGCAAACAGATGCACATACACACAGCTCCATAGTTTAAAAGACTTAGCTCTGCAATGTTTTATGTATGAAGCATGTTCTTACTTACTCGTTGATAAATGCCAGGGAATGTTTCTTCAGTTCTGCCGCCCTGGCATTGAGCAGCATGGCCTCATAAAACGCCTCGTATAATCAACCTGTTGCTACTGGCAGTCTGTCTGCAAACCGACCTTAAGCTACATTTCCCCTGCAGCTTTAACGTCTTCATAACTGCTAAAACATGGACAGGAAACCAGCTGAATAATCACTTCCGACAGCATCTCTCTCGGTCCTCGCGTCACTCGAGCAGTGTGTGTCTGTGTGTGTGAACAGAGGATGGCCGTTGAAACTCGTCTGTTTCAAGTTGCGTGAATAATAAAAAATAAATAAAAAAGCGCCCGACATACACTTAAATCTCTGAGCTGCTGAGTTTGACACCTTTAGATGCATCAAATGGAACAACACAAGGATTTAAGTATATTTTCTCTCAAACATAAGCTCTTTAATAAAGTTTGTGTGAAAAGAGGCACGAGCTACAAACATCTTTAACACAAAGTAAATTGCTTTAAAGCTAATGATTTGTAAAGGCTGGATCAGCATCCAAAGGTTGATCACAAGAGGATTAGCAGCAGGGTCTCAAATTATTCTGGACCCATTTCAGACTTAATCTGTCAGCACATTTTTTTTCCCCTACTCAGACTTTTCAGGAAGACAGACAGCAGACACACAAGTGTGGAGTTTTTAACCCACTCTCAGCACAGTTTAATTTGCATGATGGGTTGCAAATATTTAATAACTTCTGGGGTGATAAGAAAATGTGTGCCAAATGTTTCTGGGAATGGCAGTGAGATGTTCAAGATTCTCAGAACTCAACATTCTTTTTGAAACTTCCTCAATTCTGATGATTTTACAGTATCAAGCTGTGTTGTGTTGTTTAAGCTCTTTCATCAAATGACTTGGTTGAAATGTGGTACTTTTCATTTATTTTTTTCAGCTTTTTAATCAACTTTGATTTGATTTTGTTCATCACAAGTGACACCCAGTTTCTGTAAAAACTGCTGAGGTTTTAAAGGAGAAAAAAAACACAACTGCGATCAAACTTTTTTTCACTCGGTTATTTTGAGTTCAAATATTGTTTCAAAGTAATTCTCAAAAAGAAAGTGAAAAAAATCACTTGTAAAAAATAAAAGCATGTATTTTTTTTATGAATATTTAGTACAGGAAATGTTTTAAATATAGAACAGCCACCTCCACACATCATACAAGTAGCTTCACCAATTACACCAAAACTTAAATAATAGGATTATTAAATATATTTATAATATAATCAAATATTTAGTCCAGCTCATTTGTTGTCTCTCCCTGGTCGTCCAGGCTTAATTAAAGGGAAACTCCACCATTTAAACAAGCACAAAACAAATCTACCTTCATTATACTGAACTGTCTTGCAGGTAAATATGTTGTGATATGCTAGATGTCCTCAGAATAGTTGGGTATTATCAACCAGGGTCATAAACACTGTGATGTAGTTTGTTCTGAAAGTATCACCAGTTCCTTACACTGAAACCTCTAACAGAAAAAAAAACATCCATTAAGGTCCTGACAGGAAACAGAGCCTCCGCTCCTCTTAATGCACCATCCAAGATAAAACAGGACACACACCTGTCGGAGTAAATGAACACTGTTTGGATGATGTGTGAAGTAAAGTTAAGGTTATGTGCAGAAGCACATGTTCAGGAGCACAATCTTTAAAAACTTTTTGTTATACATTTGAAAAAAACCTGCAGTCCTGATTGGTACGATCATAAAAATACTTTAAAGTTTACGATTATTAACGTGGGTTTAGTTGTAAAATATTTACTGCCTTATTTTATCAGAGGAGGGAAAGGGCACTTGGCTGAACGGCAGCCAAAAAGTTATCCTCCTCTCTCTGTGGTTTCTAAGAGCAGCTTTTATTGAAGGTACTGATAAAAAAAATAAAGGCGCTACCGAGTCGAACACACTCATGCACACTCACAAACTAAACTGAGGTGGCCACAACTTAACCACTGCTGCCGTGGTAAGAGATAAACGCTCATGGAAAAACAATATTCTAAAAGTCTCAAAAGACATTTCACAAAAAGAGATATAGTCAATTTAAAGAACTTGTAAAGTTGAGGATATGTGCAGTAACAGACTCAGACAGACAGAACTGAAGTGTTAGTGCATGGAAGTTACCATACTATTCTTTAGCTTTTTAAGCCTTTTAATTAGAGAGACAGGACAGTGGGTAGAGTCAGAAATCAGGGAGAGAGAGAGTGAGGAATGACATGCAGGAAAGGAGCCGCAGGTCGGATTTGAACCGGAGCTGCCCGTCTGGAGCACCACAGCCTCCGCACATGGAGGTGTGCACATCAACCACTACGCTACAGCGCCTCCAATGGAAGTTATTATTGTCTCGAACTTTTCTTACATAGTTTGTTACACTAATTGTTCTTTTTATTTATGAGTCATTTGTGAATCTGATTCTGGATTGATCAATTAGTTTTTTTTAGTCTATAATAAGACAAAGGATGGAAAAAATATATCATCACTGAAAGTGATGGAAAGGTCTTATTTTTCCCCAACCTGAATTTATTCAGCTACTGTCCTCGAGGAGTATAGAAAACAGGGATTCTTTACAGAGAGAAGAGGCTCTAATCAGAGCCTTTTCCTTTTTCTTAACTATTTATTCAAAGCGATGAATTGATTTGTCAATTGAGGATTCAGTATTTCTGAAACATTTTCACATTTTACCTCTGGATGATTTCCATTTAAAAATATATCACATTAATGAGTTAGTCCAGAAAAAGGCCACTGAGCAAACTGGCTTTGACAACAACGATGACCAAACTGGAAACATCTACAATCTCCTTTTTACATAAAATGCTTTTTCCCCCAGCAGGCTGAGTTTAACAAGGTAACCGTTTCCTCTGATGCCTCCTGGATGATTCCAGGCACAACATGTCCCTGTCTCTCTCGGTGAGATGTGAGTGCAGCAGTTAAAAGTGAATTATCTTCAGGCAGAATGTGTGACAAACAAGGAACACTGTCCACTGTTCTCTTCAGCCGTCTTTCATGGTCGATGGCGATAGAGCGGCAATATGAAACCCAGGAGCTGCTGTTGAGCAGATCATGCCGAACATGTTCTGTCAAAAGAGATGACTGACACATAAACACATTTGGAAAAACATGAATGACTGAAGGCGTCTTATGTTCCATGTAGAATAATTACTAACGCTGCACTTCAGAAAAATCCTGTTACCTTCGTACCCAACTGGCCTCCTCTACTTTTATACTTTTACTTTTATTTACTCCATAAAGTCTACCCACATGTGTCCTGACTGTTAGGCTCCTGTTGTTCTGATGAGGGAATCACTTACATGATAAAAACATTCATCTGGGTGGCCTAAATATGAAACATGTTGTTTAATATAAATGCAGAACAGAAGCCAAGAACTGTTTATAAAGCATCGCCAATGACAATTTGTGATTTAAGGGACTCAAATGTGAGGAATCACAGCTTCTTGTCTTACAGTTTTCTGAATGGAATATTTGAGGTTTTGGATCATTAAGCTGTTATAGTTAGACGTGTGATGTCAATGCCATGTTCCATAATGTGGTGACAACATTTTTCAAAGACTTTGGTTTCATTTTACAATAAACTATGAATTGATAATGAAATAATACTAAGAAATGAAACAGTGTGGTTTGTAAATGATCTCGATTTGCCTCAGCGGCTGGTATCGTTGTTACCTTTCTGTCTTGATGCTGCAGCCGTCTTTTAGTACCCTTCACGGCTTCACTTGATAACAATGACACACCTGGGAGCCAGAATCTGTTTGTTTGTCTTGCAGAGAAATGGAGAAGACTCACCAACAGAACATGACGCATCTTAGCCTTTTTTTTAGGTTTGGAAGCTGTATTAATTACTGGAGAGAGAACTATTCTATTATGAATCTATGTGGAAGTTATAGCCAAAAGGGATCCGTCTGTGATATCCCCTTGATTTAGTTACACTAAAGGGCGCATGTTTGGTTGTTCATCTGAAGAGGCCTCCCATAGCAGCATTGTTGCACTGCTCTGACTGAGATACGGTTCAGCATAAACAGCTCCAATTTTTAGACTGATTGCATTTTCCTACATTCTCAGAGGCCCCTGAAAGCCTCAAAACCACACGTGAGAGACAGCCGACAAACTGCTGTGTATGACATCTCTCTCTTGATGGGAAACTATCGCCTGAACAAGCATGCAGTGGTTTCACGGACTGCCATCTTACGCTTCTGAAATGCATCACTCTGAGGGGCATTACAAAGAAGTTTCCATCCGACTTTATGATTGACATATCGACTGACAACTCTCTGACAGATGATCATGAAGCTACAGCCGGGGCAGGCCTCATGCCGATAGGTAGTCTCGTTTCCATAACATCACACCAGGTGAACAGTAGAACCCCATTAGCGCAGTGTTTTCTGTTTTGAAACAGCTGGAGATGAAAAGAATAAATCATGTGCAGCCCTGAGGGGTGATCGTCTCGCTCATTTTCCACAGTGTGTGATAAATAGACAATATCAACACGGTGCACTTGATATGATGTCCTAGCAGGAGGCAAAGACAAACTGTTTGAAGATATGTACAACACAGGCAGCTGAGGGGAAACTATAAGCCCTTTGGTGATATCACAGCCAGTCCCCGGGGCCAAAGCAGCAAATCACAGATTGACCTCAATCGGCTCCCCGGCTGAAGATAAGAACGTTTCACTTCTCTCACATTTCACCGTTTTCTGAGAAAAAGGCACAGAGGAACTTTTAAACGGATTGGTTGAAATAGTAGGTGAGACATTGGACATCAAGCAGGTGCAGCTAAGAACAAGAATCTGAATTACACCACAATGTACTAACAATGACTCTTTAGTTATTACTTTGTATTCAGGTTTAAGTTTTCAAAAATAGCAGTTGTTTAAATAAAACCTGCTTTTTGTAGGTACAAGGTAAAATAAATTCCACTCAGACACATATTAATAAAATATAAGTAGTCTAGACACATGAGCAGACACAGCATCTTTTCCATTTACCTTTCAGCCTCCAGTCAAAATGATTTAATGGTAAAAATACATAAAAATCATCTGCAGCTAACCCAGAAAATGACCAAAAAGCTATGTCTTAAATGTTACAGATAACAATCACAATATGCTATCAAATCAGTCTATACCGTCTGAGGTGAACTTGTTGAATCAGGGTTAGGCTGCTTTCAAGAAA